AGTCCTCTCTCTCTCTCTCTCTCTCCAACCCCTCAGGGATTCTAATAATTCTGACATTGGAATGTTTCATGGTATCATTTATTTCTCTGATTCTGTTTTCATGGTTTCTAAGTTCTTTGTTCCAGGCCTCCTCCTGATCCTTCTTTACTACCAGTTCATCTTCTAGATCACTAATTTGTTCTTCTGCCTTATTTGCCCTAGAGAGTATCTAGATTAGATATGGTCTCACTGATAGCATTTTTAAGTTCTGCCAGATTAGCTCTCACTTCTGCCCTTAAAGAATCTATGTTGCCATTAATGTTTTTCTCCATCATAGCTATTGTCTGCATAACAGTTACCCTGAAGTCTATTCTTGATATCTTGCTCATATCCATCTCCATTAGTTCTGTGGCAGAGGTCACAGTCTGAATTTTTCCTGTGTTGGGGAGTCCTCCTCTTATTCATTCTGTTGGGGGGTAGTTGAGGGAATGTACAGAGTCCAAATTATTGACCACAACTGAAAGCAAGATGCACCTTAGGTGTGTCGGCCTCTTGTTTTTCCTGCCTGTCTTCTGCGGGAGGGTCCTGCTGCACACACTGTTACTCAGGCCACCCCTTTTGGGCAGAGTTGCCCTGCCCCCTGTTGGGGAGGGATGGGCTCAGTGAAAACTGGTTTTTCAAGGCTTTTGTTCTCTAGGGGCTTTCTCTGACAGCTTTCTGTGTCTCTTCCAAGAATCAGAGCAGAAATGGCCATATCCAAACTTCTGCCTCAGAACAGAGAGATTGCAGTCTGTTCTCCAGTGAGCCCTTTAGGCCACACTGACTCCATTTTTGTCTGTGATGTTGAAAACTGCAGGGACATGGGTTGTGTGCCCCTCAGCAGCACTCCCAGCCCTTGTTTCCAGGTCTAGGCACATCTCTGCCTGTTGTGCTTCTAAAACCCCTGGCTTTCCCCAGTTCACACGCACAACCCCACAGCTCCAGGTTTCCGTCTGGGCAGCTGCCCTAAAGTCCTTCCTTGCCACTACCGGTCTGCAGGTTGTGCCCAGTCCCCAGCATAGGAGGCTTTTTTGCTCCTCTCTCTCAGGATCCTGGAGGCTCCCTCTCTCTTCCATTTATCTTCTGGTATCTGCCCACAGAATCATGGCTCCCTGCTTCATACCTCAAAACCAACCCCCAGAGATATTCTGTTTGTAGAGATCCTGATATATCTTCTTACATCGCAGGCTGATTTTGTGGGTGTTCAGAGTGGTCTGGTAGATATCCAGCTCAATTCTGAGCACCAGTTGAAATAGGGTCCGCTACTCCTACACCATCTCTGCCCCACCCTCAAGGATTTTCGAGTTGCTTTAGATGATGAAATAAAAGTGAAGAAATGGTGGTGCTGGATCTCCAGCTCCCAGGTGAACAGTTGCAACCACCACTCTTCAGTGCACCCTCAGAGAAAGGCAGTCAATCCCCTTCACATGTGCCAAACTCCACAGACTCCTGCAGTGCACACCTGCACCAATCCTCCCAGGAGAAGGAGCTTTTTGTTACCTTTTAGACAGACTATCTCAAAGTTGCTGTGTTATTTCTATTGTGTCATCTCATGAGACAGACAGTGTTTGTTTTACCACTTATAGTGATGCTATTTCTGTTATTGATCAGTGGGGTCAGGTGGTGTCAGTATGCTCTGCATATTATTCAATTTCCAATAAAATTTTCACCTAACAATTTTAGCATCCATTCATGATTATTATTTTTTTTTTTTTAGAGAGAGAGAGAGAGAGAGCACGATTGGGGCAAGGGGAAGGACAAGGGAAAGGAGAAAGAGAATCACAGGCAGGTCCACACTCAGGATTGTGTCTGATGTGGGGGCTGGATCTCATGACCCTGAGATCACCATTTAGTTGAGTAAGAAACAATACTTGAGGAACCATACCCAACAAGCTCATTTGTACCTTGATCTGATATAGGTGAAAATATGTAGACTTTGAACAGATGCTATAATGGGATGAGATATTAAGATTATTTGGAAGGAGAGTCACCGTGCTTTGTATGCATGGACAATGTTAATTATTAGTGGTGAGAGTTGCAACCAGGATGGATTGAGGATGTCCACAAAAGTTTTGATGTTCTTTCCTGTGAAAGGTAGGGATTTCCTCTCTGTGAAGTTTAGTTGACCTGTGACTACTGTGACCTGGACAGTATGGTAATGGTGATGTTAATACTAGTCCTTGGGTCTGTCCATGAGATGACTGGCAGGTTTTGCCCTGGTCTGCTGGTACCCATGTGGAAATTCAACCCTGAGGCATCTGTGCTGCAAAAGCACAGGACACCCACAAGGAGAGACTGGAGAAGGAGAGACACAGAGTTTGTGAGCTCTCAACTATTCCATGCCTAGATGCTCAAGTGCGCCCAGCCATAGCCCAAGGCATTATCAAGCAGAACCAACACTTCCCTGCTGTGTTCTTCCAAGTTTCCAAGCCTCAGGATAATGAAAGTTAGTTAAATAAGTGTTTGAAGCTCCTGTGTTTGGGGATGCTAGTATGTGGGGATACAGCACTAGATAACCAGATAATGATGGACTCCTCCTGGTTCACTGCCTCTTATGTAGGTTGGATTATGTAAAAAATTCTGATAAACAGAAATGATGACCTGATCTGGAGCTGCCCAGACAGCCACCATTGCTGTGGTTTTGGGTACAAGTAGAAGATCCTGCGTCCCCAGGGACCGCAACTCAGAACCTGCTCTGCCAGCGGCCAAGGGGGAATTTATATGGGCTCTGCAGCACCCACAGGGGACCAGGCTGAGCCTTCTCTCTGAGAGGGAGGTCAGGGTGCAGTTTGCTTTCCTCTAAACCTACAAAAACCATCAAAAGCGGTCAAGGTGAGAGAAAAAAAAGTGAACAAACATAAAAACCTCCAGAGAACAAAAGCCTGAAAAAACCGGTTTCCTCAGAGCCCACCCCCTTGAGGGGGGCAGGAGGACTTAACTCAGGGAACATCATTAACTGAAAACCCATGTGGCAGGCCCCACCCCCAGAAAACCAACCAGGAAAGAAAAAAAAAAAGACTACAAGAGAACAACCACCACTACTTCATAGATACAACTTATATTTTTAACTCGTTCCCACTATTCTGGTTCATTTTTTTTATATAGATAATTTTTTTAACGTATTTATGATCACAGTGAGTGTCCAGTACATCAAATTCCATAATAACCTTCTAACCTGAACTTTTTGATACATACACCTGTGTTTTTCTTTTGCATTTCTATTTTTTAAAAAATTTTTTAAATTTTAGTTTAGTTTAGTATAGTTTATTCCTCTTTTATTTTTCTTTTCTTTTCTTTTTTTTAAGATTCTATTCATTTATTTGGCAGACAGAGATCACAAGTAGGCAGAGAGGCAGGCAGAGAGAGAGGAGGAAGCAGGCTCCCCACTGAGCAGAGAGCCCGATGCAGGGCTTGATCCCAGGACCCTGGGATCATGACCCAAGCCGAAGGCAGAGGCTTTAACCCACTGAGCCACCCAGGTGCCCCTATTTTTATTTTCTAATATTCATACAGAGTTAAACTTCAAGGTAATCCCCTTTCCCCAATCAATGCTACCCCTATAGGTAAGCCAATTTTTAATCCCCCTTTATCTTAGGAAAGTTGAGACCTTTAACAAAGATATCAAGATACATCCAGGAAGAATCAAAACAACTTTCCTTGCCCACACTGAGAATTTATAACCACTCTCCCATCTTTTTCTTCCACCAGTGTTTCTGTGTTTTTGTGTTTGTTCTGATAGTATATAAATCTTATACTTGGGGTTCTTTTTGACGAGGTTCTTCCTTTATTTGTGTGTGTGTGTGTGTGTGTGTGTGTGTGTGTGTGTGTGTATCTTTTTTTTCTCTTGTCACATACTTTTATCAGAAATGATGACCCGAGACAGTTCAGGATAGAAGGTGCATAAAGGGGGAAGATAGAACCAACATAGGAGTGAGGTCAGAACCACATTGTTTTGGGCTCATGAAAGTGAATATGGAGAATGAGCAATCAGTCCCTGAGCTCATAAAAGCTGGCCACAGTCTTTATCTTGTCTCTAAATAGTCACAAATGCTGGCCCCCACCAATCTGCAAACCCAGCAGCCATTCCCTGGGACTTAGAAAGTAAGGAACATAGTGTCCCCTGCAAGGAGCTCCAGAAATGCCTCAGTCATTATGATGTAGTAGCTTTAACTCTGTATGAGTTCGGTAACAAGTAAGGAAAATAAGAAAGCATTTTGATGAATTCTGCACATTTCACCAGTATTACATCATATTATATCACAATGTTTTTTATAATTTGTGAAAATAAGCATTTAAATAAGAAAACAAAATGAAAATTAGGAAGGGTTTTGAAACTTATCATTTTTCATGACCAACAACTGAGGGGGAAATGATGTACTAATGAAACTTGAGAGGGATTCCTGAGATTTTTTTTCCCCCCAAATCTGACTCAACTTTCAATATTTCACAGTAATCTTTTACTGTTTATCAAGTTGACATTAAAACAGTTCTGGGGATAGAGGTTTCAGAATTCTCTAGATAAACCATTGGCTATTTTATCCCTGTTAGTTAGTGTTTACGTCATTTGTTTTAATTACTTCCCTTCCTGCTTAGAGAAAAAGAAGTCATGACACATTGCTTAAAAATTCCTCCTAAGTAATTTGCAAATTGCCATTTTTTATCTAATTGAGTAACTGTGACTCAAAATTCAAATCCTTAAAACATAAAGCATAATAATTTTATTGCTTACATTAAAATATGTTAACTTAGGGGGACCACACAGCTAAACAGCCTTAAGTACTATTCAGCTACCCAATAGATGGGTAATATAGGCGTATTTCTATACCTTGTTTCATTAAAGAATACATAGCCAATCAGTTTTATCAACTGATATCCTAAAACCAAATTCAACATTTAGAATCCATGGCTGGTATCCAATATGTTCATGTTTCCCTTATGCTACTAGGAATTCAAGCAGGCTGGCCTTTCTCGTTTATCTTTCCTTAGCTGCTTTCTTCTATTATGCATATTGTACATGATCTGAGAAGAGGTATAACCCCCCCTTTTCTGATCACAGTACTCAAGGCCCCTTTCACTTCCTTGTTCCTCAAAGCATAGATCAGTGGGTTTAGTACAGGAGTGACCACACTGTACATGATGGCAGGTGCCAGGTCCTGTTCCATGGAACTGCCTGACGCAGGACGAATGTAAGTGAAGAGAACAGGAGCATAGAAAAGAATGACCACCATGAAGTGAGAGGCACACGTGGACAGTGCTTTGTGAAGTGTGCTGCAAGAACGAGACTTGGAGAAAAGAGAGATGATAATGTAGAAGTAGGAGAGAAGTGTTAGGGAGAAGGAGCCCATGGCAATGGTACCTGTAACTGTATTGAGAAGCCACTGGTTGAGCTCAGTGTTCCCACAAGCCAACTCCAGCAAAGGTTTGACATCACAGAAGAAGTGATGGATCTGATTAGAGCAACAGAAGTTCAAGTGAGAGGTCATGGAGTGCAGCAGGGCATGGAAAAAACCAGTGGTCCAGACAATGACAGCCATCTGGGTACAGAGCTGATAATTCATGATGACAGAGTAATGCAGTGGCCTGCAGATAGCCACAAAGCGGTCAAAGGCCATCACAGCCAACAGCAAGGCCTCTGTGCTGCCCAGGAAGTGGAAGAAGTGAAGCTGGCTTATGCATCCCAAGAAGGAAATTGACTCGTGTGCAGAGAAGAAGTTCTCCAGCATCTTTGGCAGTGTCACTGTGGAATAGCAGACATCTAGACATGATAGATTTCCCAGGAAGAAATACATGGGTAAATGGAGTCTCGAATCAAGAGATGACAATCATCAGGACAGCTCCATTCCCAACCACACTGACAGCATAGATTGCAAGGAAAACCATGAAGAGATAAGGCTGCAGTGCTTGGTTGTCTGTTTCTCCCAGGAGGAGAAATTCAGTGACTGAGGTTTGATTCAGCATCACTTAAGAGAGAAGATAAAATATTATATAGAATGATGAGATCAGAGTCTTTGCAGCTGAGGATTTTCTCATCTACACAACAACATTTTGAGGGAAAGCATTGTTTTACATAGTTCTAAGATCAGGAAACATACAAGATTTGGATCATTAGACTATTGAGTATGACAGTGACATGTTGGTTATGGGACATGACTGAACAACTTTTCTTCCATATTAGATTTTCCATTAATATTTTTCTTTCTCCCAGAGACTCAGAGCATGTTGCCAGACTACCATCTTCTCTGGCTGTGAATATCTACTTTCTTCTTAAAAATAAATTTAAAAAAATTTAAAAAGATTTTACTTACTCATTTGACAGAGAGAGAGAGAGAGAGAGAGNAGAGAGAGAGAGAGAGAGAGAGTGCACAAGCAGGGGAGCAACAGGCAGAGGGAGAGGGAGAGCACCCTGCTGAGCAGGGTGCCCAATGCAGGACTTGATCCCAGGACCCTGAGATCATGACCTGAGCCTAAGGCAGATGCCCAACTGACTGAGCCACATGGGTTCCCCAAGCATCTATGTTGTTGTTGTTGTTGTTGTTGTTGTTGTTCTTCGTTTTTTAAAAAAGATTTTGTTTATTTGACAGGAAGAGATCACACATAGGCAGAGAGGCAGACTGGGGGGGGGGAAGCAGGCCCCCTGCTGAGCAGAGACCCCCCCCCCATGTGGGGCTTGATCCCAGCACCCTGGGATCATGACCTGAGCTGAAGGCAGAGGCTTAACCCACTGAGCCACCCAGGTGCCCCAAGCATCTATCTTCGAATTTAACTTTCCTTTAATCTACCTAAGTCAACTCTCACAGGGGACAATTTTTTAAGTATCCCACAACACTGCTACCTCTTGACCTAGTATAAAACCACCTGATAGGTTTTTACTTAAGAAAAAAACAGACAAGGAGAGAATGATAAGAATGATAAAGTCTGGATTGAGATTACAGACATTGGAGTGCCTCCTGAGGAAGAGGAGTCTTTCAAAGTTTGAGGAATCCCTGAGAGGAGATTAGAGAGTTGATGTGACTGGAATAGAGTGGGTAGATGAGGGAACACTTCTCGGTGGCCCATGGGATTCTTGGCAGTATAACTGGAGCATGTTTTGAACAATTATCCAGTCTGTGCTATAGTTCCATGCAAGGCTGGTTTCAAGCAGTTCAGACTAGCTTTCTTTGACAGCCACATGTGTTTTACACACTGGTAAAACCCACTGCTGTTTAAGACACAATGATATGCCAAATATCATTTTTGGTTCTCTGACTCATAAAAGTAAATTGTATCAAAAATTCATTTGGGGGAAGAAACCTTTTTCTAACATTTAAAGAAAATTAGTTATCAGACTCATTTGTACTGATTTATTTCATTGCAATTTTCATACTCAGAGATTACATATTTACCTTAGAGAGTATTTAAAGAAGCAGGCATGATGAACTGAAAATGAGATATGGCAATGAAAATGTATAAAGAGCCTTCATAATTCCCAAATGTGAAGAGGAATCCATCATAAGGTAGGAAACTAACTCTGAATCCTGGGCATTTGACTTGAATATGAACAAGTCCACAGAAAACATGGGTCACTCTCCAGCCTATCTCCTGCGGCATTCTCTTACCTGATTGAATGCTCAAATTCACAGTCTGGAAAGCTTTTCAGGTGTACACTCCCAAGGATTATAAAGAGTAGAAAGTTATTTGAAGCAACTGTTCATATTGAGATGGCAGCATGAGCTCTTCATCCTCAGAAACCTCTTCCTCTCTTTCTGAAATTCCTTCTTCCTCTGATAAGTCACAGACTTTATACATATAAATACAGAGAGAGCATGTCCTCTGGGTCTGAGCAGGATCTCTATGAGTATAAACAGTATACTTCCCCTCAGCTGCAATTCAAGAAACTTCCTCATGGGGAATTCCTATCTTGAGTTCCATCTTTTTTTTTTTTTTTCTCCCTTACTATGTTTCTTCCTTAGTTGCAGAATCTTGGATAGCACTATTCCCAGTGTCCTCCTATATTTTCTTAGTTCAGTTATCTTTTATTCTTTTATCACCTTGGGACTTCCATGAAAAAACTTCGTGAAGAAAAATTAATAAATTTGGGAATGACAATTAAGGAATGGGGTCAGTTATGTTCCATTGAGCCATACAGAATGATGATTATCTTTACTATTCTACTCATTTATTAATGTGGGTTTTTTGAAAATGAAGACGGGGAATAAGGAGTAGTATTACTTTTGTTTAGCTTAAATCTGACTCTTCACTGTTTGTAATAGCACTAAGTTATTTCCCTTAATTTTGGGATCCCAAAGCTCACATTTCTCTCTAGGGGAACGGGGCTGGTCTCTCCCACATGTATCCGTGCTTCTTGCTGTATCCTGCAGGTGAGAATATTCCATATGCTTCATCCAAGGAATATCTATATGCTATCTGACATCTATCCAAACTTTCTGATGACAGTTATAAACACCATGTACTTTGTCCATCTTTCTATTGTAATCAATTTTTGTTGATTTGCAGAAATTCATTGTATATTTATCACATTAAAAATTCCTTGCTCACTCTGAGAAAAAACTGAGAGTTTTGGAGGGGAGAGAGATAGGGGGTTAGGTGGGCCTGGTGGTGGGTATTAAGGAGGGCACTTATTGCATGGAGCACTGGATGTGGTGCATAAACAATGAATCTTGGAACACTGAAAAAACAAAATAAAAATTTAAAAAATTCCTTGCTCAGGTACATGCTGTAAATATAATGGAAAAAAAAACAGTTATTGTGTACTCATTGTATGTTATTGTTCTGAGTTCCTTACATGTATTAGCTCATTTAATTCTTTCCAGCACTCATGGGGGGAAGAACAAAAGACATTCCTACTTTACCACAAGAAAAATGGGACTTCAAGGATTTAAGTAAACTTGTTGTTTCCTCCCAACTTTATTGAGGAATAATTGACAAGTATAGTTATATGTATTTCAAGTGCAGAGTGTGATGAATTGATTTACATGAACATTGTGTAATGATTACCACAATCAAGATAATTAACTCATCTACCATCTCACATTGCAGACTCATGTGTGGAGATAATGCTTAGGATCTACCATCAGCAAATTTCACTGCAATTAAATGCTAATGTTTTGCAATAAATTGTGAAATTAGGGTTCAGCCTAAGGCTCTCCAGTTCTAAATATAACTGCAGTTTAGTCTCCATTCTTTCAAAATACCACCCACCTCAATTTACCTACAGTTCCTGCAGATGTTTAGAAATCTAGCATGAGTCACATGTCTGGCAATTTTCCTCTTTATGTTTTGTCTCTCTGAGGTCTCATTTGTAAATTATTTTTCTCCTCAAGTCAAAATGAAATTGTCTTAAATATTCTCTTATCACTAGTCAAGCTTCATGGCCATGTAACTGCTACAGTCACACAGGATGCTGACATGCCTGATTTAATGCTCTGTTTCCATCATCTTGAAATTCTTAGTAGTTTTGAAAAAGGAACCCCGAATCTTTATTTTGCACTGAGCTCCACAAATTATGTAACTGGCCTTATTCATTGATTAGAGTCTTTATTTGCCATTTAGAACTGTAGCCTTTTGGGGTGGATGTTTACATGTTGTGAGAGCATCAGCTGGAATTGGCTCCACTTTGTTTCTCTGCAGACAAACTGTGACCCCTTTTTCACAAAAATGAAGCCATCTCTATAAAATTCCAAGCCCCTCTCATACACAGTCTAGTCTTCCACTTCCCACCATTGAACAAATTGCCTTTTAATTAATAATATTTTATTTTAGGTCTTCCTATCTTACAGAATGTACCAAACACTTACTCTTCTTTCTTTTTTTTTAGATTGAAATTTATCATACATTTTTTAAAATTTATTTTCAGCATAACAGTATTCATTGTTTTTGTACCACGCCCAGTGCTCCATGCAGTCTGTGCCCTCTCTAATACCCACCACCTGGTTCCCCCAACCTCCCACCCCCCCAACCTCTTCAAACCCTTCAGATTTTTTTTCAGAGTCCATAGTCTCTCATTGTTCACCTCCCCTTACAATTTCCCGCAAATGCCTTCTCCTAACTCCCCATGTCCTCCATGCTATTTGTTATGCTCCACAAATAAGTGAAACCATATGATAATTGACTCTCTCTGCTTGACTTATTTCACTCAGCATCATCTCTTCCAGTCCCGTCCATGTTGCTACAAAAGTTGGGTATTCATCCTTTCTGATGGAGGCATAATACTCCATAGTGTATATGGACCACATCTTCCTTATCCATTCGTCCGTTGAAGGGCATCTTGGTTCTTTCCACAGTTTGGCAGCCATGACCATTGCTGCTATAAACAAGAACTGAAACAATTCATGGAAACCAATGAGAATGAAGACACTTCGGTCCAAAATCTATGCGATACAGCAAAGGCGGTCCTAAGGGGGAAATACATAGCCATCCAAGCCTCCCTCAAAAAAATCGAAAAATCCAGAACACACCAGCTGTCTCTACACCTTAAAGAACTGGAGAATCAACAACAAATCAAACCAACTCCACACATCAGAAGGGAAATCATCAAGATTAGAGCTGAGATCAATGAGGTAGAAACCAGAGATACAGTAGAACGTATCAGTGACACTAGAAGCTGGTTTTTTGAAAGAATCAATAAGATCAATAAACCATTGGCCACACTAATCCAAAAGAAAAGAGAGAAAGCCCAAATTCACAAAATTATGAATGAAAAGGGAGAGATCACAACAAACAGCAAGGAAGTAGAAACAATCATCAGAAGTTATTATCAACAGTTATATGCCAATAAGCTAAGCAACCTAGATGAAATGGATGCATTCCTGGAAAACTGTAAACTCCCAAAATTGAACCAGGAAGAAATCGACAACCTAAATAGACCGATATCTAGTAACGAGATTGAAGCAGTGATCAAAAACCTCCCAAAAAACAAGAGCCCAGGACCTGACGGATTCCCTGGGGAATTCTACCAAACT